CAACTCTAAGAGCTTTTCTGTGCAGTAGCAGATTATAGGAGGCCCGGGCCTGGGCACAGGAGCAAAGGCAAACATCCCCAGTTCCCTTGGGTCTTGGCAAGTTTACTCCATCCTGGGTGCCTGATGCAGTTCTGAGGTTCAGGGTGGGCAAAGCAACAGTACAGAAGTGGTGACCCTTGCACACGACAGCCTGTCCTAAACCACCCAGAAGCAGGCATGAGCCCGACGCCTTCCCTCCACCCCCAACCCACACCCTCATCAGGGGGAGGGGAGAGAGGATTGCTGATGAAATCAGATGCTGGGTTTTGAAGTCAACTAAACCATAAGTGACATTTTAACCCTTTGGAGTCAGACAGATACACGGTTACACTAATAAGATCTCAACATATGCCAGACACACGTTAAGCTCTTCTGACATCTTAATGCAGTTAATTGTAGCCAGTCACTAGACAGTGGATGTTATTTGTGCCACATTTACCAAAGAAGTAAGCTGAGTTCCCTGGTAAATAACTTCATGGATTTTCAATTTACTTCTGTGAGGGTGATGTGGGGGAGGGGTGGTAAATTTTATTGCTGGGTGGTGGTGGCCACACCTTTAGTCCCAGCACTAAGGAGGCAGAGGCAGGAGGATCTCTGTGAGTTTGAGGCCAGCCTGGTCTACAGAGTGAGTTCCAGGACAGCCAAGGTTACACAGAGAAACTCTGTGAAAAAATCAAAACAAAAACTGTTATTAATTTATGTTTTTTTTTTTTTTTTTTTGAGGCAGGGTTTCTCTGTTTATCCTTGGCTCTCCTGGAACTCGATCTGTAGACCAGGCTGGCCTTAAACTCATAGATTGACCCGCCTCTGCCTCCCAAGTGCTGGGATTAAAGGCGTCCACCCAACTAAAATAACTTTAAAAGTTTGTTTACTATTATTGCTATGTGTGTTGAGTGTGTGTGTGTGTGTGTGTGTGTGTGTGTGTGTGTGTGTATGATATGTACACAGGGAAGTGCATGATGCCGTGATCTTGTAGTCAGAGGACATCTTTCAGGATCTTGTTCTCTCCTTCCAGCATGGATTCCAGGCATCGTACTCAGGTCCTCAGGCTTTGCCCCACATGTGTGTGCACTGGGATTTCTACCTCAGGTCCTCACACTTGTGCAGCAAGTATTTTGACCCACTAATATTGCTCCAGATCCTTCTTTTAAAATGGTGTTGAGGACAAAGCCTGGACCTGGCTGTACACCACTGAGCAAAGTCGTCCACCTCATCCTGCGCATTCTCATTACTGTCTCTGAAGACCCTCTGCTGGTAGACATGTCACCAGACCTTCGCCTTCATCCTCAAAGTCCAGGCATCCTCTCTGTGGACATGACTCTGCACCCACGTGTCCGCCTTTTGCAGCACTTGGGATCACACCAGGGTCTTGTGCGTGATAAGCTAGCACGGTACCACCGAGCTACACCCTCAGCCTCCAAAATGCCCCCTTTATAAAGACACCAGTTGTAGTGGAGCACAGCCCCTCTGATGACTTCAACTTAATTACTTACATGTGCAGTGACCCTGTTCCCAAAGACAGTCACGTTCTGAGGCATTAGAGGGTAGAACTTTGATACACGAATTCGGGGAAAAAGGGCGCAACTCGACCTATGAGAATATTCCACACATCCACTGCCGTTAAACCTGAGGCCATATTTCATTCTCATGCACAGGGCAGGGTCTGCTTGCTCTTCACCTGAAGACACCGAGACTCAGCAAGACGAGGTAGTTAACCCGAAGGCACATGGCAACAGGGCAAGGAGACACTGGGACCTGATGCCAACTGCACCGTAAGTGATGCCAGCGCTTGACCTTAGCTTCCCTTGCAGCCTCTCTGCATCTCAGTCTTCTCATCTGTAAAGTGGACTCGATACACTGTCAGCAACAAAATGCACTGCTCGGGATGAAGATGTGGCAAGTCCAGGGCCTTGCACACAGTGCAGGTGACAAGAATAAGCACATCAGCAGTTATTCCATAGGGCGAGTCCTACATTCTGTTGCTTCTCAGCTGCTTTAGTGACCGCCCATCCTGGCTGTCTTAGTTAGGGTTTTATTGCTGTGAAGAGACACCATAACCACAGCAACTCATAAAGGAAGATATTAATTGGGGCTGGCGTACAGGTCAGAGGTTTAGTCCATTGTCATCATGGCAGGAAGCATGGTGGCACACAAGCAGACATGATGCTGGAGAAGGAGCTGAGAGTTCTACATCTGGATCCTCAGGCAGCAGGAAGAGAGAGCAACACTGAGCCTGGCTTGGGCTTTTTTTTTTTTTTGGGTTTTTTGAGACAGGGTTTCTCTGTGTAGCTTTGCGCCTTTCCTGGAACTCACTTGGTAGCCCAGGCTGGCCTCGAACTCACAGAGATCCGCCTGCCTCTGCCTCCCGAGTGCTGGGATTAAAGGCATGCGCCACCACCGCCTGGCCTGGCTTGAGCTTTTGAAACCTCAAAGCCGGCTCCCAGTGACACACTTCCTCCAGAGGCCACACCTCCTAATAGTCACTCCCTATGGGCCTATGGGGCCATTTTCTTTTTTTTTTCTTTTTTTATTTTATATAAAAGATTTTCTAGTCATGTTACATATCAACCACAGATTCCCCTATCCTCCCTCCTCCAACCCCCCAGCCCTCCCCTCCAGTCTACCCCCCATTCCCACCTCCTCCAAGGCAAGGTCTCCCCTGGAGAGTCAGGCCAGCCTGGTAGATTCAGTTGAGGCAGGTCCAGTCCCCTTTTCCCTGCACCATGGCTGAGCAAAGTGTCTCAGCATAGGCCCTAGGCTCCAAAAAGCCGGCTCATGTACCAAGGACAAGTCTCGGTCCCACTGCCTGGGTCCCTCCTAAACAGTTCAAGCTAATCAACTGTCTCACTTATCCAGAGGGCCTGGTCCAGTTCCATGGGGGCTCCTCAGCTATTGGTTCACAGTTCATGTGTTTCCGCTAGTTTGGCTATTTGTCCCTGTGATTTTTACAGTCATGGTCTCGATATCTCTTGCTTATATAATCCCTCTTCTCTATCATTGATTGGACTCCTGGAGCTCCACCAGGGGCCTGGCTGTGGATCTCTGCATCTGCTTCCATCAGTCACTGGATGAGAGTTCTATCATGACAGCCAGGGTATTCGGCCATCCGATCACCAGAGCAGGTCAGTTCAGGCACTCTCTCAACCATTGCCGGTAGTCTACAGTGGAGTCATCTTTGTGGATTTCTGGGGACCTCTTTAGCACTCTTTGGGGCCATTTTCATTCAAACCACCACACTGGTTGTATATCCAGAGGAGGTGGAACCAAGGGGGCTTGCAGATCCCCACACTCTGAGAGCCTAGAGCTTCCTGACCCCATGACAGGCTGCCCCTGAGACATGCCCCCACCTTTTGCTCTCTTTTCCTTCCCTTGAGCCAAACATAGCAAGAGAGAGGCCAGAGGGACCCAGCTGCTGGCAGCTGCCTTCCCCACATTTGGGACCCAATATTGTCTGTGCATCGGAGGTGGCTTTGTGTCCTTGAGATGCTGTGGCAAGTAAGAGTGAGCTGCCTTAGCTAGAAAGAGACCCTTGAGAAACCAGAGAAACAAAAAGAGACCCAGGGAATATGGGATTGGCTGATCTCAAGGGGAGAGTCCGAAGTGACCAGCATGGTTCCCATGTCTTAACATAGCTGTGCCTTTGCAAAAACTCAGGTGGTGGGGAGCACACCTTTAATCCCAGCACTGGGGGCAGAGGCAGGCAGAGCTCTATGAGTTCGAGGCCAGCCTGGTCTACAGAGAGAACTCCAGGACAGTCAGGGCTACACAGAGAAACCCTTTTTCAAAAAAGCAGCAGCAGCAGCAACAACAACAACAAAAACCCCTCAGAACTATAATCGACAAAGGGTGAATTTGACAATAAGTAAACTAAAAATAATTCATTGAGACAGGGTTTGAGACCAGGCTGGTCTCAAACATATCTGCCTTCTGAGTGCTGGGATTACAGATATGTGCCACCATACCTGGTTCTGGGGATCAAACCCAGGTCTTCATGTGTGATGGGCAAACATTGCAACTGAACTAAAACCCCAAACCTAAAAAAAAAAGTGAAGAAATTTGTCAGGCAATATGGCACACCCTTGTAATCCCAGCAGTTGTGAGATAAAGACAAAATGATTGTAGTTCAAGGCCAGCTTTGGCTACATGAGGCCTTGTTTCAAAAAGAAAAGAAGGAAAAGGAGGAGGAGAATAAAGAAGAGGGAAAAAGTTAAAAATAAAAAAATTAAAATAATTCTACCTGGCTTCTCTGGGTTATACTTCAACTTGCTTCCCTATGACTTCCTCCCCAAGGATTTCCAGGACTCTTGAAAGTTCCAGAGACCCAGGCCCGCCCTCGTGTGGTGGCTTTAGCTGACAGGCACTTGAATTGAGGACTCAGAAGAACATGGGTGATATTAAATGGAGGTGAGTTTTGTGAAGGGAGCATCCACGAAGGCATGCCCAGGGAAACAAAAAGCACGTCGGAAGTCCTGTGAGTGGAGAGCCAGGCCTCCCCCGGAAAGGCTGCCCTCAGAAGCTGGGGTCCAACCAGATGGCGGCAGAGAAAAGAAATTCTACTTGGGCTACTCTCTTGTGCTCCTGACTACAGCAACTGTCTCTCATGAGCCAGACCCAGAACCCACAGGGCATCTGGCATGTAGGCCACTTTGAGTAGGAGTAAGGCAGGAAAAGGCAGAGGGTGGCACAGGGAAGGATGGCAGATGGAAAGGAGCTGAAGCCGCATGGGGAGAGACCTTAGGACCCACTGTCACCCCGAGCTTCACCCCAGGAACAGCCAAATATGCCAGCTTTGTTCAGCCTGGGAGTTCCTGAACGAATGATAAACTTGTGAATGGAAATATGACACACGGGTGAGGAGGGCCTGATTCTCACAGGCTCTAAGAACCAGGTGAGTAGTTCCCCAGGCCACTAAGGACAATTTTCTGCGACCTCGCTCTGGGCCTTACGTAAACTGTGGACATGAGAAGGGGTCACGGTGGAATGGGGACCAGGGTACCTGCACTAGGGGGTTTATTTGCTGCCATGACTGAATATGCGATGGTTTGAGGGTTCAGTCCACCGTGATGGGGAAGGTGGAGCGGCAAAAGGGCAAAGTGGCTGAGACCTCACGGCATCCACAAGCAGGGAGGGGGTAGTGTCAAAATGACCCCGGCACACGGGATGATGCCACCCATATTGGGGACAGATCTTCCCTCTCCGGTTAAGCCTTTCTGCAAACAGCCCCGCAATTACACCCAGAGGTATGATTCCTGGTGATTCTAAACCCAGTCAAGTTAACAAGGAAGATGGGCCACCACGGTACCCCTGCCAGGCACCGGGGAACCTGTAAGCCCTTCCCGGACACCTCCTCAAAGGATGGGTCCCTAAGAACGACCTCCTCCATCTGGGTTTCTGGGATTTGGCTGGGTGTGAGTTCCTCAGGAGGTAGGAGGGACAGCTGTGTGCAGAACTGTGGTTAGCACAGTGTGCACATCTGCAGGGCAGCTGCTGAATTCCCCCACGCACGCCTCCTGGTGGGAGGAACAGAGAATGACCACAAATATTTTCAGACTGCCACGGAGACAGGGCTGGTGGCAGCTGGTGGGACAGACTTGCCTCCCGCCCCTGGCAGGACAGGGAAGGGCCTGGCATAGTGATCGACACGTGCAGAGGTGTGCAGGTGTATTCTGTCTACCACATCTCCACAAGTCCTGCTCGGCTTGTGAGTCACACCTCCAGACTTACTACAGGAGGCGCCAAAGCTTTGAGGCATAAAGGACAGCCCTATGACCAGGAGGGAGGGGGAGGGACAGAATGGGAGGTCGACGGCCCAAATCTAGTCTCCCCCTTAGGGGTCTCTCCCCTGGGTCCTCAGACTGTGTGCCTCTTCCTCTACCTTGAACCAGACCTTGGCCAGTAGCAACTCTTGTTGCTGGATTTCGCATTCAGGAAGCTGAGCATCACTAAAATGAGGGGCAGGGGCCTGGCTGAGGGCTGGAGGACAGAACCCCAAAGAATAAAGAAGTCAGGAACCCTCAACAGCCCCTTAATTCCAATGCTCCCTACACTCAGACCCCATGGTGTGCCCTTCATTCCCCTACCTGCCCTCCAGCGTGTCCCAGCTCCGCCCCATGTTTTACAGTGCTCAGGAAAGGAGGCGCCCGGCTTAGGTAACCTTGTTGGACAGCTCAGGGGTCCATTCTGGTACATGGTCGGGCACAGGATAGCAGGAGTGATCACCAGGGGAACCTGACAGCAGCCATTGCTGCAGTCAACACATGTATTTCCAAGGACATCGACACTGTCCTTACTCATACGATCTGGGGTGATTCCTTGAGTTGTAGAGCTCTGTGAAATCTCACCAAAGCTACCGCTCCTGCATCCCTAACTTCAGCATCTCATGGGCATCTCAGTGTCTCAGTCCTACTTCCTGGGGACCTTTGACCCAAGGACAGTTTGCCTAGATGGGACAGGAATGTAGTATAGTACACTGTCCATGGGTAAACGCAAAGGAAGTCACTGAAAAAATAACTGATATACTTGGATCTTAAATGTGCCCCCAAAGCACATATGTTTAAGGCTTTGGTCTCCGGGTAATGGTGTGGGGAGGTGCTGGAAACTTGAAGGACGAGGCTCATTTAAGGGTATGCCTATCTGGACCAGAGTGCCTTCCACTCACCAGCATGCCTATACACCTGGCACTCAGGGGTAGAGACAGGAGGCTCAAGGCTAGTTAGGGTCTAGCCTGGTCTCCATAGTGAGCTCATCAAGAAAGTTAAAAGATCTTGCTAAGATGAGGAAATGACAGGAAGTCGTCTCTCTCCACTTCCTGTCAGCGCTGTCCTAGAAGTCTTAGTTAATGTGGCAAGATGAGGAAAGGGTATAAAACACACACAAACCAGGAAGGAAAAGATAGCATTGTCCTCGCCTGCGGATGACGAAATTGTCTCTGTCTAAAATAGGAGACATTAAAAAACTGAGACTGCTAACTGCTTATAAGACAGGATAGAAAAGCCAGGAAAATCTTGGGGAAACGAGAAGGGGCAAGAAGATCCCAACCTGCAACCCAACTGAAGCCTCTACCAGCAGCAGGGAAGAATTATTATTATTATTATTATTTTTTAGAGATTGATCTTTATTCAAAACTCTGATCTACCAAGTTAGCATTTTCCACCAACTCGGGGAGCAGAGACCTTCACAGGCTTCACAATCTTTTGTTTAGGTGCTGCTTTGGTAGGGGCCTTGGCAGCAGCCATTGCTGTCTTCTTGGACGCCTGCTTAGCCGTTTTTGCTTCCTTGGCAGCCCTGATAGCCTGTTCCCGCTGAGCTTTCCTAACTTCGGGTTTCTGATTCCTCTTGGCCATTATATCAGCAAGAGATGCACCAGTGATAGCTCGCTGGAATTTGACTGCACGGCGGGTTCTTTTCTTTTGAATTTCTTCCGACTGTCCCTTCTTGTATTTTCTTCTGTAGAGGACAGTCCAGTTTATCTGCCGAGGATTCCTTTTGGAAAGGAACGCGGACTCGCATTTTGCATTGAGAAACTGGAAAACCTTCCCGTCGGTCCTGGCCTAGCGCCGCCCGTGTCTGGGGTAGATCTTGTAGCCACTGAAACTGCACAGCTTGACCTTCATGGCGAACGCTGCTGGCCAGCCGGAGGAAAGATGGCCGCAGCAGGGAAGAATTCTAACACAATTAGCAACTACTTGAGGCTGTCTCCCTTCCCAGCCTTGAGCCTACAGTTTTCTAGGAACCTCACCAAAAAATCCCACTTAGAAGGAAGAGATGTATCCAAAACCCCTTAAACAACTCGTGTGCCTTCTGGCTTTACCTTGTCGGGTCATAATGCCATCAAGGTGTCTCCAGGGCCGCCTCATGTGTCTCTCATCAAATGAGAAAGAGAAGGGAATCGGCTCAGCAACCTTTTGAGATGTAACTTAAGAGTCAGTTAATGACATGTACGGCCAATGCTAAGACAACTAACTACTTACACTTTTTTGGAGATGTCTGTTAAACCCCATTGAGTATGTCTCTCTTCAGGTCTGACTTCTGCGGCTCCAACCGGGCATCCCAGGTTAGGGATCAGAAGAACCACTGAGTTTCAGGATCCCCACTTCATCCTCGGGCTTAGGGGCAATGAGAAGAAAGGCCCCATCCAGGGAGGGGCAGATGGCAAAGACCTTTAAGGGGTTCACCCCAGCCAATGGGGTGGGGTGAACCCAGAGGGTCAGCCAGGATCCCCAATAGAGGGATGCATGGTGTTGGAGAGCTGGGAATAATCACAGAGACAAAGCCATTGATATAAACTATCCTGAGAATTTTATGAATGCACACAAGTTGCCTTATGGTTAAAATATGAATATAGCTATTTACCTTGCCATAATTTAATTATAACGTAAAACACAGATTCTCCATGCAGTAGCCTATTACAGGCACTCCATAGCATCACTTGGCCACACTATTGCATAGCCCAGATACAGAACATATCTACCAGCACCGAAAGTTCTCCTGGGCCCCCAGGAGGCATTGCAGAAGGCTGAGAGCAGGGCCTGAGGGATGAGAAGGAAGTGGAGGGAAGGAACAGGAACTGTGTAGACAGCCATGTCTTAGCCATTAACGGATCTAAACTCCAACGGATCACCAGTGCCCAGTCCCTGGGAAAATAAAGTCAGAAGGGACGGGAAGAGAGTGAGATTGGCACCAGCCACCAAGCCTGACAACCCAAGTTTAATCCGCAAGACCCACATGATGGAAGGAGGGAACTGATTTCTGAAAGTTGTTCTCTGACCCCCATGTGCATGCTGTGGTACACACCTGTCCCCACTAACAAATGAATAACTATTTAAAAAGAGGAGAGAGATAGAAACAGAGATACAGATAGAGAGAAAAAGAGAGACAGAGACACAGACAGACAGACAGACAGAAGCCTTGGGTGGTGAAAGACCCTAACCCTTCAGGCTTACACCCCCAAGCCCCAGGAGAATAAGGAACTAAAAAGAAAATCTAGTTCCAAGGGCAACCTGACTCAGCCATTATTCAACCACCCCTGCCACAATGTAACAACGTAAAGAGATCCCTGGGTCTGGGATCTATCAGTGGGAATAGGCATGCAGCTGACTGACCTCCTGGGCTGGTGAAGCTTGCCTCCAGCTTCAGAACCCAGGGCTTGGAGGTCACTGCCAGCTCTACAATGTGCCCACCCACCAGGGTTGGCTATAATGTGAATTTCAGCCTGACTACATTGTTCTCTCACGAAAGCAAAAAAAGCAAAAAGCTCAACCACACTCCTAAAATCCCAACAGGTTCTAGGTGACAGAGAAGGACAGCCCTAACTATATTGTCCCATGAACAGCGGCTGGTGGGGGCACGGATTGATTTTCATACGTCAGCGGACATCCTGAAGCTTGGCAGTGTTCCTGGAGTCCAAGATGGTGGACCTGAAGTCTGCACCGGGAAAGGGAAGCAGGCAGTTCAGCCATGGGAAGCTCATCCGTAAGAGAAAGCTCAATTTGAGCCCCAGTTGACTGCTCAAATTCTCCATCGGTTTCTGCTGGGTGTGTCTGAGTCGATAATGCTCCCTCTCTGCCGTCATTGTTGTTTGACTTGGAAACCTGGCCCAAAGGGACACTCGGCTCCCGAGGGGACACCCGGCTCTGCCCAAGGCCCTTTCTATCGTGAACTCCAGCTGACTGCCTTAACAGGACTTCCCGGCTGATATCCACTGGATGTCTTCCTATCTATCGATTGGTGTATTTATCTGTATACTTAATAGATTCGCTCATTCAGAATGAAAAGATGGCGGTTCTAGAACACTTTTTGAATTGCACAGCACATAATGGACATAATAAGTAGGCTCTACGAGATGCCATTTCTGTTTTGAAGGAGTGACTCTTAAAAAAACGAAAGGTGGCTTACGGGATGACGGTAAGGCTGCTGGTGAAGGGAGAAATGATACCCGTGACCCCCAGCCTCCTACACGTCAGCAGCTGGGTTAACAAGGGGATCAGTGTGCGTCTGCAATTCTGCAGTTACTGAGTTGGCATGTAGAGGTTTGGGGATCTCTGTGCACTTCCTTTTCTGCTTTTTCTTGTTTACAAAGACTGTTCATTGATCAGGATCACTGATATCGTCACAGACACTTGCTAGGATGTAAAACTTCCTGTGTATATCAGACGCTGTGAGACCACAGTGGGGAGACAAGAAAAGGGGGGGATGCTGTAAAAATCAGGGGAAAAAAAAAGAAAGAAAAAAGCTTGGTAGCTTAACAATGTCTATGGGCAGGTGATCTTAATATGCCACATTGTGCCAATTGGATTCGACTCTTGTTTTAAAAAATGAAGTAAGAAAGAAGCAGTAGAGGCTGGAGAGACGGCTCATCAGCTAGAACTGACTTTGATCCCAGCACCCACAAGGCGGCTCAGAATCATCTGTAACTCCACTTCCAAGGGATCCAGCGCCCTCTTCTGGCCTTCGAGAGCACTGGGCACACACACGGTGTACAGACAACAGACACAGCATGCAGTTAAAACACCCACACACACCAAATAAAAATAAATAAACCTCAAAATTAATGTTAACTAAGAAACAGTGTGTGTGTGTGTGTGTGTGTGTGTGTGTGTGTGTGTGTGTGTGTAGAGAGAGAAGTTGAAAGGGAGATAATATGAGGCATACTTTTTATAAAAGGAGGAAAAAAGAAAAGAGAACAGTTTAGAGTAGAAAAGAGTTTGTCTGGTAAAAGATAAAATGATGGAAGTTTTTCAAAATGGAAAAGAAAAGATAAAAAGAAAACCAAAATCCTTAAAGCCAAGTTACAGAAAGATTAAGTTATACAAGATCTGTGGGGATGGGACAAAAGATGATATATATTTTATAATTTAAGGATATAAAATACCTAAATCAACTCAAGTTAACATTTATAAAAGCTGGCTTAAAAGAACAAATGATGTATATCTAATAGAGATAACTTCAGGGAAACTGAGTCATGACAAAACTCAAGACTGATTTAAAACTGTTTTTTTTTTTCTCTAAGCATTATCCAAATGTCACACTGACATTCCAGAGAAGTTTCAGCATCTACCAAGATCACTCAGAAGGGCCAGACTACTAGGCACAGGAGTTGCTTGTGTGAGGAAGGGGGCGGGGTGCAGCTAGGGACCTGTCCTTGAGCCTGGGCTCTGTGACTTGTGCTCAACAGGACCTTGAACAGCTTACTCCAGACCTCTCAGATAAATGGGGAAGAGACACTGCCCCCGAATTGTTGGAGTACAGATTAGAGATCATAAAAAAAGATGGGTACTTGTTCCAGGATTAATGTGTGTGTGTGTGTGTGTGTGTGTGTGTGTGTGTGTGTGTGTGTGTGTGTTGTGTTTTGTTTTGTTTTAGAGACAGGGTTTTTCTGTGTAGTCCTGGCTGTCCTGGATCTCACTCTGTAGATCAGGCTGGCCTTGAACTCACAGAGATCTGCCTGCCTCTGCTTCCTGAGTGCTGGGATTAAAGACGTACACCACCACAGCCAGGTTGGGATTAATATTTTTCAGTTGAACAAATAGTTTCTGAGGAGAGTGATTAGAAGTTAGGGCCAAAGATAAGACAAATTGGCTTCTGTGGGCTGGCGAAATGGCTCTGCAGATTAGAATGCTTACAGAACGAGCCTGTTGATTTAAATTGGGTCCACAGTGGAGAGAGAAATCTGATTGCTGCGATTGTTCTCTTAGGTCCACACACATGCCATGATGGTGTGGTGTGCACATGCCTAAACACATGTCTCTCTGTGTCTCTCTGTCATACACACACACACACACACACACACACATACACACACTAATAAATACATCTTAAAAGGGACAGAAATCAGTCACTGAAAGTGACTCTCTTGTCTGAGGTCACACAGCAGTGAGCAGTGGACCAGACCCATTATATGGCCTGGCATCCCTGCTCCTGACAGGTCTGGGGTCCTAGCCCCGTGACTCTCCCACTGCTTTGCAAGAGGCACCCAGTAGATAGAAACACTCCATTTTCCCGCTGCAGATGTGGCTTAGTTGAAAGTGCTTCTTTGCATGCATGAAGCCCTGGGTTCCATCTGCAACACTCAGTGTAATCTTCATGGTTGTGGGTCCCTGTAATATCAGCACCCAGAATGGAGGCAGGGGAATCAGAAGTTCAAAGTCACCCTTAGCTATATGTGGAGTTCGAGGTCAGTCTAGACCGAAGATTTGTCTCAAAGATTTTCCTTTCTCTGTCTCTTCTCTCTCTCTCTCTCTCTCTCTCTCTCTCTCTCTCTCTCTCTCTCTCTCTCTCTCCTTTCTCTCTCTCTCCTCTCTCTCTCTCTTATTACTTTCGGGATTGGACAGGAGCTCCTAATTCCTGGTTCTGTTGGCTTCGCTGGCTCTGGCTTTTCCTCTGCTCTGTGACCCGAGCTCCAGGTCACAGAGGCAAGGTTGATTCACAGCCTCTCTTCTCCTCGCTCAGCCCCCCCCCCGCACATCTGGGGAAGAGACCCTGCCCTCTTTTCACTCAAGCCTTGACCCTGAGGGAGACCTCCAGTTCCTGCCCTGCCTCAGCTGGGGGAGGCTGGCTTCACATTCCAGGTCTTCAAGGCCTTTGGCTGGATCCACAGCCCCACCCTCGATGTCCCTCTGCCTGTGAACATGGGGCCCCATCCTGGCTCTCCAGCTGCACTGAGCTCTTTCCCAGTCCTAGGCTCCGGGGACAGTTTTTCCCATTTGCTCACTTAGGTCTCCTCCCTGCTAAGGAAGCCCAGGGCCCACCCCTGCTCCCAACTGGGGCTGAGCCCTGAGGCCTGCCTGAGTTCAGTGTCCGGAAAGGGGGCTCACGCAGCCAGAGAAGAGAGGCCTAGGCATTTGGGGCCAGGCCTGGGTCTGGGGTAGAAGTGGTGGGTGGGGTCCAGGAAAGAAACGTGTAAGTGAAGAGTGGGTACTCCTGATTGAAACTGACCATCATCTGTCCACTCCCCACAGTTTTTCTCCCTCTCCGTGTGTGTGTGTGTGTGTGTGTGTGTGTGTGTGTGTGTGTGTGTGTGTGTGTGTGTTGCTTGTTAGGATCTCGTTCATGTGTCCCAGGCTGGTCTCAAACCTGCTATGGAACCTTGGAACCTCTGATCTTCTTTCCCCAACTGGGAAATCGAGGATTGCAGGTGTGAGCCACCACACCACTGTATACCCAGGCTTCCTGCATTCCACCCCCCCAGATTCTTCACTTGAGTGACGTCACTTGCTCGTCCCTGTACAGTTTTAAGTGGGTGACGGGTGTCACTGCTTACAAACAGGAAAGCAGAGGCCCCGAGGGAAGGAAAGGGTTATTTAAAAGCGCTTGGAATTGACTACATAGGAATTGAGTGGAATAATATTCGTTTATTTTATTTTAATAAATACGTATTTATTTTATTTTATACGTATGAGGTGTTTTGCGTGCATGTATGTATTGCATGCCTAGTACTGGAGAAGTTAGACATTGGATTCTCTGGAACTGGAATTACAGACGATTGTGAGCAGCCATGCGTTGGGAACCAAACCAGGTCCTCTACAAGAGTAGCAAGGGCCCTTAACCACTGAGCTTTCTTTCCAGCTTCTTGCTTAGAGTTTTGAACCCAGCTCGGCCTGCTGTTCTTACAACTCCATAAGGTGGAGGAAGAAAAGTCACTCGGAGCCTTTGAAGGATGAGCAGGGTTGGGTGGCTCTGACCCCCCGACCCCGCGCTCAGCTTCCTGCGGAGCTTGGAAGGCTGCTATGGGTCAGGACCCGCAGGGGCCCGGGGGCGAGAAGCCCACGGTGGGGTGGGGGAGCGGGCACCAAGGGGCGGAGAACTGCCGAGCCCTTCCTGAACAAAGACTGGGTGGGCGGCGGCTTGAGTCTCGGCAGCCCGCCTCCCGCAGCGCCCGCAGCACCGACCCAGAGCGAGGCCGGCGGAGGGAGCATGGCGGGGGCCAGGGCGGCGCTGCCTTCTCTGCTCCTGCAGCTCGCGAGCCTGGCGCTGGCCGCGCGCGGTGAGTCGGGGCGTCCAGCGTGTGCCCCCACTTCTGTCTCAGCCCCGCAGTCCGTCGGACGGGGCCAGACCGCTTCTCCAGCCCCGCCTGGGCTGCCTGTGCCCGGCCGGCCTCGGAGCTCTCTCTCTCCGTACTCCCCGTCGGTGGGCGAGCAGAGTCGGGGGAGGGGAGGTCAGGCAGGGGATCCTGGATCGGGCCGGGTCCTCATGCCGTCCCTGCCAAGGAGTCCTGAGCAGCAGCGAAGCAGAGGCTGTCCTGGTATCTGGGTGTCTGAAGTTAATTATTTGTATTGAGAAGGGGAGGGGGAGGGGGCAGTGCTCTCTGTGGGAACTGACTTTGTCCTGTCAGGCTTTGGGGCTTGCACGAATGGATGGTCTCTGCAGGAAAAGGGTTAGGAGGAGGCTAAGGGGGAACCCGGATTCAGTTTCTGGGGTGCCGCCAGGCTTGTGCCACATCCAGGAGGACTTCCTGCAGATCTTCGAGGAAAAGGACCAGCCCTGTTTTCAGCTGAGGATTCCAGAGGACGACGTCCCCCACACATCACCGCACACACTGCTTCCTTGACTCCTCTGTTGTGCCTGCTTAAGCAGAAATGGGGGAGCTGGCTGAGATGCTGGGGCTGTGGGGGTAGGGTAGCTGGAGGAGGTCATGCGTGGGTGCAGGTTTTCAGATACTGAGACCCCTATCCATGAGCATCCTTCCTGGGGCTGGAAGTTGGGCAGAGGGACAACAAGACAGTGCGGATTTCTGGGGCCAGGATCTCCTGCACAGGGCAGGAGATGAGGACAGGCTGGGTGGGCTGCTTATGGTGCTGAGGCAGGAAGGTTAGGACCTCTGGTGGAGAGAGCTGCAGGGCAGGATGGAAAGCTGGGCAGTGCTGTGGTGACAAGTGACATCTTAACCTGCTCTGGGAGCCTTGTACTGTGTGAGAGAGGGGAGCAAACTGAATTATGGGGCTTTCTCTTCCGGCTCGTGAAGACGGTGGGGAAAGGAGAGGATGGGGTGGGTTACGCGACAGCTGAGAGGGGACAGTGGAGTCGTACTGAGTGAGCTGGAGTGGTATTAATTGAGACATGGACTGGAATGCCCCCCCCCGCCCCCCGTGGTGACAGTAAAGAAAGAAGTAGGTGACGTCTTTCTGCCTGGTGTCCCTGGGAGAAAGGCCGTCGTTACTCCAGCTTGTCCTGATTGAGTTCCCACTGTGGGACACTCACAGCCACCTCCTTCAGCCTCCCTCATCGGCCTCCCACTCCCCGGATGTCTGTGGGAAGAGGCCTTTGCCCCTACCTTCCTGACTTAGTGGGGGTGAGGTGAGGGGGGTTGGCTGTGCCCACCCCAGGCCCAAGCTCAGACGCACATTCTTCCTTCCTGGACATAGTGTTATCTAGAACCAGGGACAGCTGTCTTCCCCATGCCTGGAGTGCACAGCACAGCTGCGTTCTGCTTTCCAGAGCCCACCTCATCCAATACGGGGGCTCCCGAGCTTCTGCCACACACCCACAAACAGTGGGGTGGGGAGCCCCTTTTCCCAAACCAATGCCTTTACCGACAGGTATAGGTGTAGACCGGTGGGGACATGAGTGAGCACACACACACACACACACACACACACACACACACACACACACACGACCCCCAGCTAATTAAAGAGCCCTCCTTGCACATATCCAGCACCCTCCCTGGCATTTCAGCCTGTGTTGGTCTCTTGTTAAACATAACATGTCAGATCTACCTCTGGCCACAGTGGATGGATGGTCCAGACACCACAGCTCCACGACTCAGGATCCCCACAGAGTCCGAGCAGGTTGCAGGGAGGCCTTGGTCTGGAGCCTGCTTCGTGTCCCTTCAGGAAATTGATGTAGGTCCCCAGGGTGCTCTGAGGGCTTCTACCTCTGATTTGCGTTGCCGTGGTCTTCCTCCTACCTGCATCTGTGCCAGCCCCTTCACAGACCATGTCTCCTCCCCGCCCCCCACCCCCGCCATGGTGGGATAGGGGGACAGGGTGGGACACAGGGTGACTCTTCTCCCATGTGTGGTTTAGAGGACAGAACCCAGGAGACCTTCCCAGCCCCTGCCCACAGGCCAAGCTGGCTTCTTGTGCCCTTTAGGTGGAGAGGTCTCCAGAGAGCGCCCTAGGCTCGCTGACATTCTTGACTATCAACAGCAGGCCCCCTCCCGCTCCTTGGCCCCTGCTGGGGCCCAGCAACAGCAATGGTGCCCCCTGGAGGAGAGGCTGGAACGGCTGGAAGCTGAGGTGACTGACCTCAGAAAGCAGGTACCATGGAGGCGGACTGGTGGGGATGGGGCAGGAGGGGCTTGGTTTGGAGGCCCCAAGGACACTAAAAGAGGGTTTGTTTGTTTCATTTTGTTTGAGATGGGTCTCTCTACATAGCCCTGGCTGTCCTGGAACTCACTATGTAGACCAGGGTAGCCTTGAACTCACAGAGATCCACTTGCCCTTGGCTCCTGAGTGCAGGAATTAAAGGCATGCACCACCGTGATCAGCTTTTGTTGTTATTTTTTTAAATTTATTTTTATTTTACATGTATGGGTGTTTGTACATGTGTTTGTATGTACAGCATGTGTGTGCCTACGGCTTGTCGAGGCCAGAAGGGGGCTGTAGTGGGTAGCTGTTCTAGCTATGACCTTGAAGCACTGCCTCTAGTGAGGTAGCAGGTAACTGTTACACCTGCCTATGACCTTGAAGTACATGCCCCTGGGGCGTGGCCACCACGTGACCCCTCCCTTCTCTCTTTTAGCAAATCCTACCAGTGGGCACCACCACAACCTGCTTTTTTTTTTTGAACAAAGGAATTTATTTAGGGTTAACTCACTATCATGGGAAATTGATTGTAGGGTCTGGGAAAGCTGAGCTTTGTGCCATGCTGATTTGCCTGGTCCAAGATCTCAGCACCCAATACCATGAGGAGGCAAAGAGAGACCCGAGTACATACATTCCAGATCTTAAGGGTCCCAAGTGGCATGCACTTCAAGGTCTTAGGCAGGTGTAACAGTTACCTGCTAAAGAGGGGTGCAGTTAAGAGCACTGACTGATGTTCTAGAGGAGCCGGGTTCAGAGGGTGTCAGGTCTCTTGGAACTGGAGTTATACGGACCGTTATGAACCGTCATGTGGGAGCTGGGAACCAAACCCAGGTCCTCTGCGTGAGCAGCCCGTCTTGTAACCACTGACCCATCCCCAGCCCTTGTTTTGTTTATTTGTAATTGTTTTGACGGTGCTTGAGACTGAACCCAGGTCCTCACACAGGCTAGGCAAGGGCTGTGCCACTAAGGTATATGTCCCCAGCCATTAGAATTCTGTTGCAAATGCACATAGAGAGGTTCTTATCTGACTAGTCCTGATACCTCTTCTTCTTGGAATGTGGAGCCTCCAGGTATGTGTTTTTGACCCAGGTTTACGTATTTGTTCATGCATTTGGCAAAGAGAATGGAATACTCCAGGTGGCAGTGGCACACATCTTTAATCCCAGCACTCAGGAGGCAGAGCCAGGTGGATCTCTGTGAGTTCAAGGCCAGCCTGGTCTACAGAGCAAGATCCAGGACAGGCACCAAAACTACACAGAGAAACACTGTCTCAACAAAACAAAACAAAACAAAATAACCTTAAATTTTGGGCTAGAGAAATGATTCAGAGATTTTAAAAAAGAAAAGAAAAAAGAAAAACAAACCAAAACACTGACTACTCTTCCAGAGGTCCTTAGTTCAATTCCCAGCTACCACATGGTGGCTCACAACCATCTGTAATGAAATCTAGTGCCCTCTTCTGGCCTGCAGGCATACATGCAGGCAGAACACTGTATATATAATAAATAAGTAAATCTTTTTTTTTTTTTTTTTAAGATTTATTTATTATGTATACAGCATGTACGACTGCAGGCCAGAAGAGGGCACCAGATCTCATTACAGATGGTTGTGAGCCACCATGTGGTTGCT